GAAAGATTTGGAAAAATTGGAGAAGGTCCAGAGAAGAGCAACATGACCTGTGAGAGAAGACTGAAAGAATTGGGTTTGTTTAGTCTGGAAAACAGAAAACTGAAATAGGACATAACTGCTTTCAAGTATCTAAAAGGGTATTACATGCAGGAGGGAGAACAATTATTCTTTTTAATGTCTGACGATAGGACAAGAAGCAATGTGCTTGAATTGCAGCATGGGAGGTTTAGGTTGATCATTACGAAAAACTTCCTAACTATCAGGGTGGCTAAGTACTGGAACAAATTGCCTAGGAAGGTTGTGGGATCTCCATCATTGGAGTTTTTAAGAGCAGGTTGGATAGACATCTATCAGGGATTATATAGACCCGTGGTCACCAACCTGTTGATCGTGATCGACTGGTCAATTTTGGGGGCACGACCAGTCGATTGCAAGGTGTTCTAGCCCTCCCTCTCGCTCCCTCTAGCCCCAAGAAGGAGTCCATGCTGGCACTACCTCCTGGGAAAATGGAGGTAGCGCTGACTTCCTGCCGGGCATGGGGGGGGGGAGAAGTCCTCAGCTGCACACCAGATCCGGCGTCTCAGAAAGCGTTCACACTGCTCCTCCCCTCCCCTCCCCAAAATATCTGGTGTGCTTCCTGAAAACTGGATCTGGCACGCAGCCGGGGACTTTCTTCCCCATGTTGCCTGCTAGCCTGCCTTCCGTCCTGTGCCAGGGGGTGGGAGAAGGAGATGTCCCCAGCTGCGCGCCAGCTCCAACTTTTCAGGGAGTGTGCCAGCTGTTTTGAGGAGGGGAGGAGCAGCACATGCGCTTCCTGAGAAGTTGGAGCTGATGTGCAGCCACAAGGACATCCCCTCCCCACACCCATGCAGGCAGCATGGGGAAGGAAGTCCCTGGCTGTGGTCCAGATCTGACTTCTTAGGAAGTGCACTGGCTGTTTTGGGGTGGAGAGGAGCAGTGCATGGGTCCCACAAGTACTTGCCTCCTGCCCAACCCCCCACCAGCACCCTACCCCCTGGCCAGACCCTCAACAGCACCTTGCCCCTACCCTGGCCAGACTCCCACCTGCATCCTTCCCTGAGCAGCTGAGAATGAAGAGAGCCCCAGTGACAGAGCCCATTGGAAGGGTTTCTGGACCCCGCCAGCTGCTTTACTTGTCACCATTGAAAACAAGGGGACAACGTAGGGCCTCTTCACTTTCACCATCTATGCCTCAGAGGACTAGAGGGTGAGACACTTATTGCGCCTTTAACAAGAGCAGCTCAGTGCAGAAGCCTGGCCTCCTTATATAACAAAGTCTGATAGTTAAGAAGAGGGCTGGGTCCTCGGGTTGGACTTCCAATAACATTTACACAATGATAGAAATGTGGTGAATGGTCACTGGGAGTGTTAAGCTTTTCCAGAGTCTGCCACAAAGTTTTGATTCAGGGAATGGGCTGAGATTCAAGCCATTCTGATGGAAAGCAGATAAATCTGCCGCTGAGTGAACACCTAAGTGCACAGTGATACTGTTCCTAGGAGCTGTCGGGAAGTGTGAGTATGGAGAAATGTGCAAAGAGAAGAGGAGTTACTGAATTTTTAATAGGGGCTGTTTCCTTCATTACTTGAGCTGAGGATTGGAGGTTTTTTCACTGCCCCAGTGTAGTTTGTTGATGCAGCTGACTCAAAGAAAGTGGCAATGAGAGAGAGAGAGTGTGTGTGTGTTAGCCTCATCTTTTCTGTTGCCTCTGCTCATTGCAATGAAAAAAGAGCCCAGATTTGATCTCTGCGAAACTTTGTAGGACATGGTGTATGGGGACAATTACTGTGGATTGCAGGTTTTTTTATTCAATCTCTAACAAAGGCACAGTGGCTTATCTCATTTTATTTAAGTGTACAATACAAGATAGTAAAAAATACGTCTCTCTTAATAATTTCATTAGAATTTGGCAGAAATGGATGAATCACATGCCAGTGGGTCAGAGAGCAGCAGAAAGACTTGCAAAGCATTGCCAAAGCTGCATGATCCAATTACTTCGCATGCTGTGCTGAGATCTTTTCTGGTAACATGGAAGCAATTGGAAATATTAAAGGCGGAATGGGGCAGACTTAAACTGAAAGTTGAAGATATTAATACATTATCTCTTTACAAACAATTTGCTGAACTATATGGGTAAGTTTCATTGTGATGTAAAAGTGTTCTAGGCTGGAGTGGTTGTTAAACATAAGCCTATGCAGGCAGTCCCCGGGTTACGTACAAGATAGGGACTGTAGGTTTGTTCTTAAGTTGAATTTGTATGTAAGTCGGAACTGGCGTCCAGATTCAGCCGCTGCTGAAACTGACCAGCGGCTGACTACAGGAAGCCCGAGGCAGAGTTG